CCACCCAATCCTGTCCTAGGCAATCCTTTTCAGCTCTTTCCAGTGGTTATTCATCCTTTTCATATCTGATTCTATTTCCTGACGTAACGTGTTCTTTGGCCTTCTTCTTTTCCACTTCCTTTCAGGATTCCAAGTTTGGGCTTGCCTCTTGAAGATGTTACAATCAATTAGATGGTCACTACTTAATAACGAGAAAAATGAGGACACGATTACTAAAAGTTTGATTACTTATAGCTTGATAAAAGAAGTCTAAAATACAGAAGTTATTCATACAAATTGTAATAATGATTGTACTGTGTTATGCCTCGATAAGAATAATGAATGGTAATTTTTGGGATCTAATTGTGAACCAATACTAAACGTATATTTCTATCGTATAATTGTTAAATAAGTAAACTATACATATTCGTGTCCCTCTTATTATGAGCCTTATTTTGACCTATGAACTATTATTATACGATTTACCATTCTTAACTTATTCCCTGTCTATTAATCACTACCTCCCTCATTCACAGCCACATCTGGCTAATTCTTGTACAAATGTTACTTTCTATTTTATGGTACGTTGTGGTCTGTTTGATTGGTATATAAACTCAGTATGTTTGAAATATAAGGATTCATATCTCAGAGGCTGAGATTGGCGTTCTGGACTTAACTGGCTGGGCTAGGCGGAAAGCAGGACTAATCAAGACTCTAGGCTGCTTGCACGTGTTTTACGCGTCCTTGGTTCGATCGATAAATCACTGTTCTCTAACCGGCGGTGACAAGATATAACATACTGTTATGGTGGTAACCATTTCGATTGTAACAAGAATGATGTTTTAGGTTTTTAATGCTTGTATATATGTTTTATTAATGAATCTGCTATAAGGTTTCTTATCGTTTTTTTTTATTGAATTATTTATTATAATCATAGAATTACATTCATTAATCAATGAGCTTCGATAAAAGCTTCAATTTGGAATTGAATTAAATTGACTACTAAATGATAAACGTTTTACACTTAAATCAAATGAGTTCGTCCTACTTCTATAAATATTGAAGATTTATTAACTTGATAATTATGAATTGAGTAGGCAATGAACGTAAATAAATACTTTACTGGATTACTAAAATTCATCATTAGGAGATTACCGACAGTGAAACTTGAAAGGAAATTAAAGTGTTGGGAGAAGAGTAGTAACACAAATAAAACTACCTCTTTCTATGAACTGAATGTATAGGATCATGATTTTTATATTTATGATCTTGTGATAATAATCTATTCGTTTACATTGAATTGCTGGGTTTTTTTTTGGGGGGGGGAGGAATAATTAATTATATTCACATACTACTGATATCATCTTTGCTTTTAGGATAGCTTGTTAGTAGTTTATTGTAAATAACAGTACAAACATTGTCTAGCTTAAATATATTTCACTTAAATTTACGTAAAAATCATATGAAAGCAAATAGTTTAAATAGCAAGTTGAGTCTAATATAATTTACAAAATAAAACAAACAAACAAACAAACTAATCCTCTACTAAATGCTCCCAAATGCCCCGGTATGGCCGAGAGTGGAGTGGGCCCGCCTTCCCTCTCGAAATACTCTCACACGTCCACGCGTATAAAGCCTCTGCCACGGAAGTCCTACTCAATGCCTTCTCGTGGCATTACTGTTGTTTACGAAATTGAGAGGATGAAAAGCGAATGTCCGGCGATTTGACCGGATTCCAAACCAATGGTGCACATGGGCTCCAGTATCCTGCGGGAACGAATGGCGTATGAACCAATCGTTGGACACCAGCTACCATGGGACTGCATCTCCTCACGATGCTCCACTGCCTTGTGGATCAGACCTTCAGGTGAAAAGCTCGGGGTGTGGCCCTCTAAGGAAACCACCTGCTTCGATCTGGGCACCCGGGCAGTATCACAGCCCACACACACACACACAAATATGTTGTGGCGCATATATAATTTGTGCCCTCTTGTACCAATATTTATGTGTTGAAATAAATAAATAATAATTGGTTCATTTGTAAAGTATAAATAATCAGATAGAATAATGTGAGACAAAAAATTACTGAGATCTATAATCAAGGTAATAAAGTCTACCACCAAGTTGTTAAAAATAAAAGGAAAAAATTGTACAATGTGTCTGTCTACATACATTTTACTGGTGGATAATATATATTAAGGATCTTTAGGCACGTCTTCTTATTGTAACGATCAATGTCGAGAGTTTGAATCTCTAATCTGATCATAGGTTTCTCTTTACTATAGATATATTATATTATCATTACATTATATTATTATAAGCTTTATTCAATATGATATTTTTGGTAAAATATAGAATTCTCAGCACAAAGTGTTTCAACAAGTTACCGTTTTTTTACTTCTTGGTCGATCCTGACGATAAATATTGAGTGATCGCCAGTTAGGTGTTAGCAGTCCAGTAAATGAACATCTCAATAATGTACATTCTTTTCGTTGTATATTGCCAGCAACCACATTGTCTCTTATTGACCTTTTTGTAACTTTGACAACGAAAGGTTGTACACTTTTCAGAAATGCACCAGGATAGCTTATGCGATGAATAGATATAATGACATATATTAAAACAAACAAAAATAGATAACTTGTTGAAATATCTAGATGGCAGGAACAGGTAGCCCAGATGCTCAAGCAGGCCGCGAGTGTACTGTCAAATTTCGAAGGTGAAAATATATTTGATACAAGGTTTTCTGTCTTTCGTAAGGAATAAATTTGTAATTCAGTCACTGCCAGGGAAGTCCAACTCAATGCCTTCTCACGGCGAGAGTGTTGTTTACGAAATTGAGAGCATGAAAAGTGAATGTCTGGCGCTTTAACTGGGTCAGTGGACATGGAGAGTCCACCTAGGGGAGTTGGAAAACACAGATTCCAAACCATTAATGTACATGGGCTCATATATCCTGAAGGAACAAATGGCGTATGAACCATTATTGGTCATTGGCTACCATAGAACTGCATCAGCTTACGTTGCTCCATTGCCTTGTAGATTAGACCTTGAGGTTAAAGGCTCGGAGTGTGATCCTTAAGAAAACCGCCTGGTTACGACTGGACAACCAGTCAGTTTCACAGCCCACACACAAATCAAGTGACTTGTATGGAGTATATGTATTCGATGATCCTTTGTATTAATATTTATGTGTTCAAATAAATAAAATCTTGTAATTCATTTTAAAATATAATTCACTCTTGTAGTCATAGAGAATTACTGAATATCTGGAGAATGGATTATAACAGCATTACATTCCTAATTTCGTAAACAATATCTTATTGAAACCAGTATAAGACATAGATCTTAATCTATGAAAATCATTGAATGTAGTAGTGATAGACTGAATATTGAATACTATATTAGACCATTATAAAAATCTATGGAATTTCATTAAAATGTATAATTACATGAAAATATCGTTTATATAGTATTCGTCTATTATCTTGTATAAAGTGAATATTTTTTTTTCTGGTTAGCGTTTTTTTAGCTAACCCCATGCGAAGACCACCGGCAGTAGCTCCCGGAGGGACTCCAGGCGGAGTGCATTGGAGAATGCTGGTCGTCAGCCCATGCTCCATTGGGAGTAACAGGCGTAAGACCTAAGACCTAATCTTGTATAAAATACATTGAGTTGGTAACATTGACTCTCAAATAAAAAATTAAAAAAAACGATTCGTGGACCTCTTTGCAGGTTTCGATAAACTTTTTTAAACATAGGGAATTATTCTTTTATCGAAATTTAATGACAAATGTCTATAATTAACCATATTCTGATTCATTAATTCGATAAGAATGTTAAAATGGTTCTTAATTTATTCATGAATTCGTCTGTATTTTCTTATGGTAGTAAATCAATAAACTCAGTCTTAACTTAACTTAACTTACTCCTGTTACTCCCAATGGAGCATAGGATGCCGACCAGCATTCTCCAACCCACTCTATCCTGGGCATTCCTTTCTAATTCCATCCAATTTTCGTCCATTTTTTTCCTTGTCTATCTCCATTTACCGGCGTAATGTGTTCCTTGGTTTTCCTCTTTTCCTTTGTCCTTGGGGATTGCATTTGAGGAGTTGCCTTGTGACTCAATTGGGTACTTTCCTCAATATGTGTCCTTTCCACTTCCAGTGCTTTTTCCTAATTTCTTCCTCCATTGGAATCTGGTTTGTTCTCTCCCACAGTAGGTTGTTGAATAAATCCTGTAAGATGACTTAATTGTCAACTTTCTTGAACAGTTAAAAAATGACTCACTATTTCATGTCAAGTTTTTTTTCAGTTTCGTGCATAATAATTCATAATTTATTATTGTTTCTTGATATTATGATGTATGCTACTGATCTCGATAGATATAAGTAGTATGTATCATCAATCGAAAATAAAATGCCCAATGATAGACGGTTAAGAAAATTAAAGAAAAGAGAATGAGAATAAAGAGTGAATAGTGTGGAAATGAAGGAACGATCAAGTTTGAAACAAGTGAGTTACATTTTGCAAATGAAGTATTTACTGTATGATTGTCAGATTTTAGCAAGAGATTGTATAATTGCTTGTCCAATTACATTTGGTTACTATAAAACATACAAATCTTATATATTACTGATATGCTGGAATATTTTTCATATATGTGATTTCCTCCTAATTATTAATCAAAATGGGTGTATAATCAATATATAAATGAGTGTATTTTCTACTAGAGTTGTCGTCGTCGTCATCGTGTTATGGGGTTAATAAATTATCACTTATACCAGTCTTTGTGTACTTAATTTTGCGTCATGGGAATTGCATAGGTCCCTCATTCCGAGTATAAGTGATCAGCGTTTTTCCGACATAACAATCAGCGACGACCAGATACAAAAAGTAGCATGAAAAGAGTCAAGACAATAAACACACAAACGACAAGTTTAACAATTACTTTTTAATAATCTAATCCGTTAATTGAATAATAATGAATTATTATATGATCAGTTATTAATCATAACATGGACTATATATTGTCATCACCATCATCATCATCATCATCATCATCATCATCATCATCATCATCATCATCATCATCATCATCATCATCATCATCATCCAAATCATCATCATCATCATCATCATCATCATCATCATC